TAACGAAATAAATGTTAAATAAAACGTAAAATAAAATTATTATGCCTCCACAAACAAATAATTGGAACGGGAACATACCTACCTAAAGCGCCCGCGCCCGATGCCGTCGTTTTATGGCTTATTTGGGGGAAAGCTTTATTGAACTTAGCCACGTTGTCTGCCGCCCCGCAAATACCACCCTTAACTAGAATCGAATAGGATTCCGAATCGAGCACTTCCCGCCAGTTGCGTCACCACCGTGCGGCATGAAATGACTTTTTCGTTTGTATTCGCTTTTTATCCACTTAGAGTCATTCTTTTTCCACTCGCTACAATTCACTTTCAGATTTTTGCTAGTGCACGCCGACATTATTATTTTATGGGGCGAATATTATTCCTAGTACCTACCGAAATTAGAGTTTCATGATGAAATTTTACCCCAATAAATTTAACGTGTCAAGGGTGGGCTCCGAGTGGCCCATGGCGAAGTTTATGCGTATTGAAGTATATTTTTGCACCTGTCTTTTGTGGCGTTTCTGTATGCGAGCGGCGCTGAATAGGACTCCTGTCACGTTACGCCACTCGAACACAATCGAGATCGGATCGAGGTCGCCGTCTTCTGGCTGGATCACGCGATGCTCATGCCGCGAATATTACTGTTTTTACACGTTCATTTACATGATAACGTATCTAGCTTGCGCATACGATCTTAACTATATGTCGATCGTACCATTGTACTTGCATAGTTGCAGTTAATTTGAACGATATCATATTTCAATACATCTTGGCAACATGGGAAAATTATGCCCCGAATCGCGCCACTAAAACCAAATGACAGGGGCACCACTAGCGCTAAAGTACAGTTTATGAAGCAGAAAATGGTATCGCCTAACATGACATCGGAGTAAAATCAAGGCTTTAACTGGCGTGCAGTAGCCAGGAAGCTGCGTCGTGGGATGATAGAGTGGCGTCGATTTGGCAGCGCGGCGGGCCGCCGCGGCGCCTCGGGCGAGCGGCGCCCGGTGCCTCAATAAGCCAGACATGGATAGGGTACGAATTTATGAACCGTCAAATAACTTATCACCAGTTTAATGCAATGAAAACGAGGTTTATTTATGAACCGCACCGATCACTCGATCGTGAACTTGTGTTTTTTGTTCTAGGGTCGCGATCGCAGGAGTCCTAGTTGGCTCTTATTTATGGGTCTAGCGACGCGTGTGAATAACGTTAATAGTGGGGCCGGCCCCTTTGCTACTGTTTATATTTATTTGGGGTTGGTGTAATGAGTCTATCTGTGCGCTGACTCGCGAACTCTGTGGAGAATTGATTAAAATGTTGTTTAGATTCAGTCTCGTGGAAAGAGGGGAGGAATTTGTCACGAAGAGATTTTTTAATAATTATTATGTTTTGCTTATACGTATCAACTTTAAATTAGCGCGTAATAAATTGGACAACGGCTTTTATTAACGCATTAATTTTAAAGAAATAAATCAAACGCCATATTCTTTTGAAAGGGCAAGGTAAGGGTTAAAATCAGTGATGCGCATGATACGATCAATAACTCGTCAACTATTTTTATTCACAGTTTATCGATTTTAAAATAAAGAGACTAAAGCTCATTTACATATCGAGTCGACTTAAATAAGGTCAAAGTTATCTGTGGCAGGCAGAGTTATGCTACCATTAATATCTATCATTGCAAATAGGTATTTCTTCGTCCCTAAATAAGTCAGTGACAAATTTCTACTCGCAACTCTTTTGTGGTGTGAGATAAAAATTGCGCGTTTCCCTGACGCTGACAGTGAGGGACCTAGCTAACTATGAGTGATGATGGTGGCGCCCCCGGCATTAGCGAGGAGGAAGCCACGTGCCGAGAGCATTAATGATCGCGTCTGTGATTGCACGACTCTGATGCTGGCTTTAAAGTGTTAATCTATTGAGTAGTGTCTTCTTCTCAGCCATTAGTCAACAGACACTACTCTGCCAATTAATAGTGTAAGTGCCTTTTTCCAGTGATGCGGATTTCGGCACGCGTGCGGATCTGGTCTAATCTGTGGAGTGCGTACAAATCACAGTATTGATTGGGTGCATCGTAGCCCGCGTAATAGGAAAAACATGTATGAAATTGAAATGCGGACAGCCCGCATGCGGAAGATCCGCACGCGTGCCGAATCCGCATCACAGGAAAATTGACGCTCTTAATGGGCAGAGTAGTGTCTATTGACGACTAAAAGTAAGTTATAAGTACGAGGAAAGAAATAGTTTGTCAAGTACAGAGGTAGTAATTTATGTAGAGACATTCGCATACTACACTAGACCGCAATGAAAAAGGGTCTGTTAGAAAATTTAGCTAATCTAAACAAAACACTGGAAAATCTAAGCATTTTTATTAATTTTATAAAGTTAGATCTTTACTTCATAAAGTTAGGTCAGCTACTTTTGATGATATTAACAATTTTCTAACCGACTTTTTACTTTGCGGTCTAGTGTTTAAACCCCAAATCTTAATAGATTATTTTATTGATATTACGTCATGGAAAGAAACAAACAAAAGAAAGCTCATTACAAAAGCTTAACAGTGAAAGCTTTTGTAATGAAAATTTACAAGTAGTTCATTTAACAAGATTTATTAACAAAGGGTACAGGTAGAGATTTAGTGAAGATACATTTTGTAATGGCTTACTCGTGGTGGTGGTGTGAGTACGGATTTAATTTGTTGACTCCACTCTGAGGATTATGTCAACACAAGGGAGGGTAGTCAAGTGTGATTATATCTACTCTCAACCTTAATGCATTGGCCCAAAGATACACTTAGTTTTGGCACATTGTTTTAATGTTTATTCATGCAATGATACAGAGAATAGTGGCAACTTAATAGCATCGAATTTAACGTTTTAATCAACGCGGCAACGTGATGATTAATTATCAAATATCTATCATCATCTTTGAGATAGCTAGTTGGATATCGCCAGTCTTCGATTTATATTGATATTTACACGTTGAAAAATTGTAAACTTAGAAACGTATCTGCTACGATTATAAATAACATAAATCATGAAGTGAGAATTATGAATTAAATTAAGCCAGTATTCAAATTATCTGTATCATAAATCCCTTATAAAGTTGTTATGCGCAAACACATGTTAGTACATGGCCATTACACTTTACGTTTTACGTATATTTTTATCCGAGTTTGACTTAATACATCTTGTAACTGCACGATAATTGCTAACGACAGAGACAATAATTACTAGTACGGATAGAAAATAAAATCTATCAAAAATAGTCCAACCAAGTGTGTAGTGCCAAGTTCATGTAATTTTTAATTTTGCACGTCATTATCCCATAAAAGTAATTTGAGACAGACAGGTGTATCAAACAGACTAAAGACGCCTATAAAGATGTGCTTTTTATGAGCTACGAAGTTTTTTTTGCTTAATGAGCGTGCAATTAGAGGATCAAATTAAAATGTAGTCAAACAATAAATGTCCAAACGAATTGCTAATCTAGTATTTTTTACTTCAATTATCTGTTGTGTTGACCGTACCGACACGATGCTACACAATTTGTTTGAGCAATGAAACGAACAAACGACCTGCTTAGCTAGAACATACAACTACCAGCTTAGAACAATAATTAAGCTATTATCTCGGAATAGTTGTTACCATGCTAATGGGAAACGTTACTTTGTTATTTTCCAATTTCCACCAAACTGCGCGGAATGATTGCTAATTTTTGAATTGAAAAACGGTAAACAATATTTGTTGCATATAAATCGAATACTTATTTGAAAATACATCGATTGAGCAATTCATAAATGAGCAATGCATTTATTATGACTGTAAATAATTGAAAACAACAAATATTCATAGACTTAGAAATTGCAGAATGTAATTTTTATAAACAATAGCATAATTAAATACAGCGTGTGACAGATTGCCAAAAAAAATAAACAAATACTTCAGATACTTCTGAAAAACCAGTGGACTAATTTTCCGGAAAATTCTTAATTTTCAGGGTATTATTTAACACGCTTAACACAATTGTTCAATCGTTTTATAACAGATCCAATAGCGTGCGAATTTATTTCCGGGAAAAATGGTAATTATATTTTACAAAAGTGATCTCAGTAATTGTTTAAACTGTTTTCTTAGAAACGTAAGAAAGCAAAGCAAAAATAAAGTTGACGCACTCAAATAACGTTGACAACAATGGAATAATGTGCCGCAAGATTTTCTTAAAACGGGGGAACAAATAAGCTTGCTCTTATTCAGTTATCGCACTTCGCAAACAGGGTTCCATATGTATCGTAATAAGTGAGTCGTTGCCAGTGTATTCTTGCGAGGGGGCGCAAACAGGGGATGACGTCCCGGGTGTAGTTCACACTTTTAATTTAGCTTTTCCTAATGTATGCGAATAACTGCAAAGAGTATTCACTGCTCACTTGGCCCCCTCCGAACTCACTATCCGACTGTTAAACAACTATCACGCGAGGGTGCGTATGCCTTAATAGTTTAACCCTCGCATCTACATTATGCAAATACGCCAGTGATATGTCAGCCCGCACACTTGGGACTTTTATTGTCGCCCGAGTTTATTCCCTTTTATTAAGTTAAGTTTAATTAAATTCAAGCCGACGTATTTGTTAGCCCGATTGACTGAAAGGTATTACTCGTCGAGATTTATCTGATTACACGCGAGCTTAGTGCGGAGTGCTACTTTGATTCACTTAATGACATTTTGAAATGATCCAGCCATTTAACGATATCACACTTGTCTTAGTCGGGAATTCAAATTGAATTATTGAGGCTTAAGATAACATTAGGTGTACTATATTATATTAAGGAACACTCAATTAATTGCTCCCGTATCAATTGATCTAACATAGCAAGTCATCTATAATATTTTTAAAGCAGAAGTCTAGATTCCCAAATGTGGCTTGAGAGCTTTATTATGAAGATATCCAGTTCAGTGTAACACCGAGTGATTTTGTTTATTTATTGTGCGTTGCGATGTTTCAGAGTAACCCTTACGCGCTGAAGGAAGGCGGCGGCGAGATGTCTGCGTGGACGTCGGCGGGCCTGCAGCCCTCCGGCGGCTACTACCCCTACGACCCCACTCTCGCGGCCTATGGGTAAGTCCCCAGGGTCCAAAAGACCCCATAGGTCCACAACACTTTAGATAAAGCCCGCGCAGTGCTAGGATTAACATAATACCTCCCTATCGGAACTTATCTCTCTAATAGATTGCAATGCGAAAGGCTCATGTTTGTATTTGGCGACTCGCTTTGACTTTAATAAATTTTATGTTGTGCAAATGTATCCCCTTCCTATGCGGGTGTGTAGTAACGTTGTGGATTGAGCCGCATTTTTCTCGGGTGATAGATTCAAATTGCTTTCTTTGTTTGTGTTACATTTTGTTTTGATACATGTGTAGGGCGTCGGTATCACATAAAACAGGCAACGTTTTCAATTAGAATGGAGAGTTATCAACCGGTGAATAAATTAACGTGATTGTATTTTAAGCCTGCGTCCGGCGGGTTATCCGTTATCGAGCGATCGTTAAATATCTCTCGTGATAGGACGTCAATATGCCGCGCTGTTTATTAGACCGTTTATATCAAATTTCGAAAGCATCATCGCCAAATCACCTGTCGTTATTAACTTGTTAACTATTCATTTTATATCATCCGGTGAATGCTCAGACATGTAATACGAACCTGAATTTTAGGGCTAACACTCCATGAACAATTTAAATATTAATGGATATGAAATATATTAATATTAAGTAGGCATTCTCGGATATTTTCACGGTTCATAGGATGTGCATAGCTTTCAGTTAATTGATTTTCATTAATTGATTAAGTTGACCGTAAAAGTAAAGTAAAAGTGACCTCTCGTTATCAACATTTGGATTTAATCACTTACATGGAAAGGTGAACAACTGACCTTTTTGAAATTACAAAATTTAAGCGTTGTTATTCACAATACTGATAACACTTACGAAGCGTTACAAAAAGTAGAGGCATAGGTGAGCGGGGAGTTGGTGTAATGGCTTTTTGATAACTTTTCGTATCAAGCATTGAGTTGCAGCTTGCTTGATAAAGGCACACCTAGCCTATGGCCCGCGATGCGTGTCGGCCGCGAGGGACAAATGACCGGGTAACCACTCCCGGTTGTCCGCCGTCCCTTTCCGACGTATATGAACACCGAAGTGTGACAAAGACGAATGACGCCACATCCATTTCGCACTAGCGCCTGATTAATTCACAGTTTTTCTTTGAAATGCGATCGCTTGTCGCGCTGTGTTGACGTTTTGGGAAAAATTACCGACCCGTTCGACGACGCGTTATAAGCATTCAATATGACTGGCAATCTCGTTCACCTTACGATACAAATCAACATATAATTACAACAACCGACAGTCAAATAAAATCAAGTTCCATTTACCGTATAATCATGATTCAATTAAGTAATTAGAAAAACGTACATTATCATAATTTTTTCATTTCACTGTGCACAGCAAGCCTTAAGTATAAATCATCAATGGAAACTATAATTAAAACACAATCATATCAGACAACTTTGCTGCAAAAAACTGTTTATTTGAAAGATAGTTTCGTAACTTTTTTAAACGTTAAAATGGGCATTAAATAGTTCACTAAATACAAAAATAGCCATTGTTAGAGTGTCATAACAATGTATTATGTGGACCCATCAATTAATACGTTTCACGGCGCACTTGAAATTTATCCGTCCATGAATCACGCTGGAACTGCCTGAAAATAAAAACAAATCATGATACATCAAAGCAAAGTTATGCTGACAATTCGGCTCCACTCGACTTAATATATAGCAAGCGGAGCGTTGTAATCTAAAAATAATTAGAGGCGACATTAGTTTTTATGCGTAAAAAAGACGTAGCGATATAACTGAGCGGCGGGACAAGCACGGAAATACTCCGTGATATATAGCGCTCCCGAAACTCTACACAATTGTTCACTATACCACGTATAGGGTGATGCAATTGAGGTTGAGAGCGAAACAATACTTTTAACGCGTCATATATAATCATAAAAAGTGCACGTACATTTTCAACACCGGTCCTCGGTTCACATTAATTCACTTGAAAATACAATCGCCAACGGTTGCCGACAAAAATTGTTGCGTATTCATTATGAAAAGAAAAACTTCATAAGGGTTTCATAAAGCGTACTGCAATAAGTTTGCCGGGCCAAATAAATGGACAGAAAGGAACGAATGCGGTGAAAAGTGTGCACGAACAACAAAACTTGGCCACGACTGTAGGCTCACTTCAGTTAAGTACCGTTGGCTTATTATTTGAAACAGCCTGTAATCTGCCACGCCCGCCGCGCGCCGAAATGAAAAATTACTCGGCTATATTTAACACAAGAGTCGAGCACAGAAAACGTACAAAAATTAGAGAAAAGAGTCGAGGGAGTTGTACCGCACCATTGAGATCAAAATACGCAGGAAATTACTGAGCTCCGAGCTCTAAGGGAATTATTTTGTGTGCCAACGATTTGGGCTGTTACTTTTAAATAAACCAAACAAGGAATGCTTGTTAGCAAGACGTGACGTCTAAGCGACATTTATGTTTTAAAAAGGGAATGTTTACGATATACGTTTTTAAGGATAGACGAAGAAAATACAATAATATAGATACAAATTCCACATTGTAAAAGCTCCAAAATGCGTAATCTCTGGCTGTTTGATTGATAATATTTTATAAACAAAATCAGACTTTAATATCGTAACATTTAAAACTTGCTCATTGATTTGCTTCACTGATTTATAGAAGAATAGGGTCACCACACACTTGTTATTGTTTATAATTTGTGCTTACTGTGTTCAATAAATTCTATTTCTTTCTTTCTTTCTTTCACCACACACTTGATCGAGATTAAAACATCTAAAGTAATTTCTATCTAGTTCGCTTAAATAAATAAATAAATGATAATTTTGTACAATATGAAATGACGTCATTATAACCAATTATGTCGCTAACTAAATCTAATCAAGCTTACAATGGAAATCAGACAAGGCAGATCACTAGCGTTGTTAACGTTGATCAGATGTACCTACATATCAGTGCTAATGGATTTCTCGGTATGACAGCTCTGAAACCGCGAGCTCCGTCTCGATTGACAATGTTAGCATAATCGATAACATTAATTACTGTCTTATCAAGAGACAAGGTACATTACATAGGTACGTACATGTAAATAATATAGGTACACAATAAAAAAAACAATCAAGATAAGAGGGGAAAGAAAATTTAAGGCTTGATGAAAAACAACAAGTGTTTTAGAAATAGAACAATGTTAAAAATTTATTAGCAGAATGATTGTTTATTTCAAAAATAACTCTTTGGCGAGAAATTAACATATAAATAAGTAACTTTGTACCTACAGAGCTCCAATAGAATTTAAATAATCTACGCTGTCGGTTTTTTGTGTACTTTGCAAATCACTTTTTAAGCAGTAATTTTGGAGTATAAAGAACACTAAAATATTTTCCAAACTGAAAAAAACCTAAAATCTTGTCTACATCGTGAAAATTCATGATTTTTCGTTCACTAGAAACTTGAATCATACAAAAGGCAACGAATACCCAACCCCGAATCTCGTTTCGAATTTCGAAACACTCAACAAACTACATCCACACGGCGTAGTTAAACACAACGATCGTGGCTAAAACGCCTACTCCACTCGGAGTAACGAATCCTAATTCTAATACACCCGGTCCCAGTGGGGAGGCATTACTTATGTACCTTACATAGTATACAGGAGGGCACGTAAAGGCCGCGATTCCCCCAAGCGGGCACATCGTAAACCTCCGATACCACTGAATTGAATACTCCGCACACAAATATTAGCACTGCTTGTAGCTAGCACTCTATATGCCACTACAGAAAGTTCGAACAACAACGTATGACTGAAAAAATCATTTTTCATTTCATAAAGTAATATACAATTCAAAATACGCACAACTGTACGAACTTTTAAAGCAATCGAATAATAATACACACTAAAGCACTTTTAACCGCGACTTTCATGAATATCAGATTAGAACAATAAAAGCATCTTGCTTATAATAAATGCAGGAAACGTCACAGTGAGTAAATCCAGTCGTTTGTTGACTCCACGAATATAAAGCATAAATCTAAATTAAGCATCGGCATTATGTTTTCGTCCCCAAATTATCAAAGATACAAAGCATTTCCGCCCGTGAATGTATTAACATTCAAACCAAGTGCATGTGTTTCTCTTCTCATAGGGCGGGCGCGGCGAGTAAGTGGACTGTCTAAATTAATTAGTAAGCTTTAAGCGGAGAGCTAGCAGCGGCTTCAGCGCTGAAAAAGATTGCAATCTCATTCAGAGCCACGGCTTTAGAGCGCTTGAATGTAGCCGGCACCGCTGTCGTCGCTAACCGCGGCAGATTTCTGAAGAGCTTATTCATGTTCCAACTAATGTTCGGTTTCAGACACTCGGTTTTCGTCTTTGACACTGTATTGGATTCAATTAGGTGGTTTAACGTTTAAGAGGTTAAGCCTACATTATTTTGACGTACTTGTAGACTCGGCGCGGTATGAAATTTATTGAAAGTTGCGTGATAAGATTTCGCGGTGTCACCTTAGAAAAGCACGTGAGACGTTCCTCGTCTGTAGACTGGCAAGAACGGAGATGTCCGGTGCGCAAGATGGCGACTGGATCGATTGAGGTGTTGCTTGAGTACGCCCACGGTGCCCACGCCTGCGCTGCAACGCCCTGCAGTTGCAACAAGATGCAATCGGTCCGCCCTCTAGTGAAACAACTGTCTTAACTCAAGAACAAAATATTAATGAATCAATAACGTACTTAAAATTCAATAACTAAAAAAAAACTATTAATTATTGTAAAATTTTTCAAAACCCAATCTATAAATTATAATTATTTAAGAAATTAATCATAACGAATATAATGATAAAAACGTTGATTGACCACAAGCAAAAAATGTATACTTAACTGAAGTGGAAAGAAAACAAACCGTTTATCGTTCCCATTCATCAATCTCATAAGATCTTGTTTATTTTGCACCAATTTACGAAATAAACACTCGCATAGATCTTCAGTAGTCTATTTTCTAAAACCATCAATTCATTTCTAAATAAATTCACTTTATCACGTAACTATTGACCAAACATCGTTATTCCAGCAAATCAATTCAAGACCTCCAGCGGGGACCGCTTTTTAACTATTTTCACGCGCGAATCTATTTATTGGACCCCTTAGACCGCGCCTTTGTCATGTCGACGAGAAAATCGAAATCAGGTACGAATGCTGCTGGGGGGAACAGGACGGTTCGCCACAATTACGCTTACAATGCGGATGCAAATGGGACCGTGGGTCCTAAAAAGTGTATCGAATGTCGCTCCAGTGCCGCGATAGCTTTATTTTTGCTGCCGTTACGAGAAATCTATTGCCTCAAATAAAACGCCTATCTGCTACGAATTTAAAAGCCAGTTTATTGTTCGCTGTAAACGCTTCGACGTATAGATCGTAACCGATGAAAATGTGTTGTGTACACGAAATATTTCGCGGTAATATTCATATTTCGTTAAATCTATTATTGCGGAAAACAGAACACCTGTTAATGTGGTACTTTACGCATTTGAGCTTTCGTTTATTAATACTCTGAGAAATTTATTGAAATGACTAGCAATTTGGATAATCACATATAGACATGTGGCTCGGTTCAGAATGTTCATTGGCCTATGCGAGTTTTAATTTAAGGCCGGAAGCGGTGTTTCCCATTAGGTATATGTAAGTATAAACATGTTTGTCGACAGATACGGAGCTGGATACGATTTAGCTGCCCGGCGGAAAAACGCGACGCGAGAGTCGACCGCAACACTCAAAGCGTGGCTGAACGAGCACAAAAAGAACCCCTACCCCACAAAAGGAGAGAAGATAATGCTTGCAATCATCACCAAGATGACACTGACGCAAGTGTCGACGTGGTTTGCCAACGCGCGCCGCCGCCTGAAGAAGGAAAACAAGATGACATGGGAGCCGAAGAATAAAACAGACGACGACGACGACACCATGCTCTCTGATGAAGAAAAGGACAAGGATGAACAAGATGAAAAAATTAAGACCCACAAAGGTTCGTTGAGTTTGATACTCGAAGCTCCGATCAGACCTTACTCTGTAAACAATTGTTGAAAATGTATCCTATAGCAAAACTCCATCAATAAATATTGTTTCGCAGTAAAAGGTCCGTTCGAAGCTTTATACTCGGAAAAGCGTTTGATAGCCAACTCGGTTAAACGAGTAATAGGATTTCGTGACAACCAGTTGTCCTTCAAATGTTTTCCAACCAAAACCTATTTACCGTAACTCTACCTGTACGTGTCACTCTGGTTCATTTCGATGTTTGCAAAGCGAAATGTGTGTTTCAGATAATTTACTAATCCTGTATCCCGTTTGCACCTGCGATTGCGATGTTTCCTCTATTTCGGTGTAAACTGTCCATTTTATTTTCATGTTTGGATTGCGTCAATGTTGTTAACCGTTTAAAATTGCTTTAATTTTGTCGGTGTATAAATCGTAGAGTGAATTGGCATAACGCGGCTGAGGGCCGGAGGGTGCGCGGGCTGCGAAGAGGAGGCAGGGGGCGCCGGGAGGATTGGTCTCAGGCGTGTAACAGTGCGTAACCGTTCCTCGCTCCCGGATTTCCTATTCGTACTAGTGGGCGGCGCCAAGGCCCAAATTTCATATAACGTCGGGTGCTCGGGTACAACAGGGCGACGCTCGGAGGTCGCGTTCGGCTTGTCAGACGATCTGCCCTACTTCATGTTCTTGCCAAAGGATTTGTCGAGTTCGTGGATCGTTTCTTTTATGAGGATATTCCGACGGAACGTAAGTAAGTACGGTTTTGGGGATTTATAATGTGTTCCAATTGAATGTGGAACCTTTTCAGTGCGGTCTTTGTCGTTGTTCGTTTAACATTTTCAGCTCTGTTTCACGTAATCGATGAATTCGTTGAGGGTTTTTAACCTTTAACTGGTGACCTGCCCGTCTCTCAGACACCGCGTTTCGTTTTTTTGATTTATCTCCCCGCCTTTTTGTCGCTTCTCCCCGTGCGTTTTGGTACCTTCCGCGTTTGCCATACACCTTCGCTCAGTAGGAGGCGCACGAGCTCAGGGTCTCCTGTGTTGCCTGTGTGGAGCTTTCGCCGTCTCACAGACGTCAGGTCAGTGCTAATGTGTATTTTACCTATGTGTCTGTTGTTCGTCACCTCACTTTTAGTTTACACAACTTCATAGTGTTTGAGGGACGTCACAGCGGTGGTAATGTTTTGTTATTATCTTTTATAGAATGTCTCACGATAAACAAAAGAGGTCTGCCAAACGAAGAAGGGTTCTTAGTCAGCGAGGTATAATACAGGAGCTTCTAACAGAGAACGACGACGAGTGTAGTAGTTTTGACGACGATATAGGCGATCCTGACTTCGTTTTAGAAAGTCTGCATGTTACCAAATCTGAGCAATCTGGAGATGAAATCAACACCTCCACCATTGAATAACAGTGTCCTGACTAAATAGGAGGGGTTGATGGATGAGATGGAACAAAGTGTTTCAACTATTCAACATCCTTATTGGCCTATGTATAATCATATTCTATAGCTTAGCTCAGTCGATATTTTTCAGTAATAATATCTTATGTCTTAAACAGTGATTGCGACAATACTAACAAATTAACTAGAGGCAGCTTCTTATTATCATTGGATAGCTCTTTAGTTATACCTCAATTGAAACTCGTGCCTTATAATGACTACCCTACTCCGCGAGCTGCGTTCAGTTGGTGTTGATGAATTACCACCTAGACCGACTTCTGCCTCGTCCCAAAACCATCCTGGGGTTAAAAGAACATGTGCCATTTGTCTTAGCCATGTAATAAAATGTACTAGGTTCACTAGAACTCATTATGATAAACCTATGTGCCTAAATTGCTGCAAGAAAAATTGTGATGTCTGTAGACGTGAACGTTTCTAGTAAGTGATGTTTGATGATTGTAGTTTTTTTAATTTCTTATCTTAGGATAGCTTTACCTGCTAAGTTTTGTTGATTAGTATCTAAACTATCTAAAAATGATGATTAGGAAGGTCCCAAAGTGTATTCTGGGGGCTAGTATGCCCATTTTAGGTGTCTTAACTTTATTTTTAATGAAAAGTACCTTGCTCAAATTAAGACTGATTTTGTACCAAAAACTAATGTTTTTTTAAACCATGTTTTTATATTATTTGGACAACTTTATAAGTTACTAAATTCTTGGCCTCAAACTTATTTTACGTTAGCCAATTTTTTTATACATAAGTTTTTCTTTGACGTCTCTTAAACGTCACCTCACCAAATACGCACTGTTGACTTCAGGTCACCAGTTAAAGGTTAAGTGCAATAATAAAATGCAGAAGCGGAACGTGTGAATGTAGAAAGGCAATAACATAACAGCAAGGGTTGTTAGTCTCGGTTGTCAACAGCATAAATTATAAGTGGGTATTGTTGCAGTGAGGATGGTGGAGGAGTGTTTTCAGTGCAAACTTCACGGCTAATGGCGTGGGGCGTCACGGCTTACGGCGGCATACGTCGCCTAATGAAGCCGACTATTGTTGGGACAGAAGTACGCTTAATTCGCGATGTGAACGCCGCAAACAACACTTAGGGTCATCAAATTCGATAATAAAAGAAGTCCCGCGATAAGCGCGGGCGGCGCTCTCCCTAAACAAGGACCATAAACTGAATATTGGGCCTTTGTGGGACAGAGGACAGAAGGCAGATCTTCATATTTATAAAGCGATAAATACAAAGCTAATCATAAGTTGAAATGTTAATTCACATAATATTCTATAATCAAGAAATAAATTATATTTATTGAACTTAGAGCTTTGACCGGTTGCCGTAAATGTTTTAATGCCGTAGACATAAATATATGTTTGTGTCGTCATAATTAGATGATCAATGCCTAGATATTCTTAAATGGTGTCATAAAAAGCAGGTTTGTGCACAAGTAAGGTAAATTATTCACTAGCTGGTAGATACTCTATGATTAGTGTAATGGAATTATTCACTTCGTATAATATCTGATTACGATCGCTGAAAACCGAGTGATAAGATTATGAACGAACTTAATTTTGTTCAATCTTGAAATGATTATCGGTATCTGATACCTTCTATGGATTTATAGTGTTGGTTTCGCACCAACCCTAACCAAGTAGCGACAAAAAAAATCATAAGTTTTCCCCACGCATTCAATAGACACGCGCCCCCGCGGCGACTGCGGCGTGCAGGGGTGTGCACGCGTTTTAAGTGGTTTAGAACATTTTTGCAAAGTGCAACATTAAAAACCGACTGCAAACGCTTTTAATGCTGCATGCAGGGGCGTGTGTAAGCGTGGAATGCAGGCATAAAACTAACAACGTGCTAAAAGGTCAAAGACTACTTTAAGACCCGGTACTTACAATTTCGAGGTGCCCGTGGTCAATAATAAGATGAAGTTATGATTTTCGTCGATGGATATTTTGTTGGGTAGTTAAGTTTAAAGGTTTTGTTTGAAGATGCAGTTGATTTTTGGTAGTTCAGTGGTTTTTAAGAGACGTTACAGGAGGTATACAAGAAGTCTTTTCACTGCACTCGCATTCAGTCGGCAGATATTATGTCTACTTCAAAGCAGATGTAGGTAACGGCCTTTTAAGGTAGGCTCTACAAAATGTCTATGCACCGCACACCTCTGCACCTTACATATAAGGACCTTTACAGGTATCAGACCAAACTTAAAAGCCCATGAAGTTACTTGCTGTAAACTCTTTTACAGTTAGGTTAAAAAACGAAAACTTGTCAACAAAGGTCTGATCTTACTACGAAATGAAAGTAAATCCTTGGAAGCCTCATCATTTCTTAGGAAATTTTTTTTTAAGTAAATTACTCTGTAATGTAAGTATTTAAAACGTAAACGACCTTTCATACTTAATACAATATTATTTCGTACCAAATCCCCTGATCCTGTACAAACAAACCACAAAACACTGCACAACCATTCTTTTCGTGAAACGTCAATGATCACGACGTGTAATATATCATTTTAAGTCATGGCAAACAAAGCCGATATAAAAGCTTTCACACGCGATCGCTAGACCGTCGTCGGCAAACAAACAGAACTATCCGGGACTAAGTCTCATGAATAAAAGCTTCATTTTGACCCCAACCAATAAATGTTAATTTTCGTCGCTGGCGCACGCATCGCAAACAAAATATTAATCCGCCGCGTTAATGGGGAATGAGTGGAAGAAACAAGTGAGCATCGGGGCGGACGTCGCCGAGCACTAATAAATTGCAGTGACCTCGTGAGTGCGGGGGAGGACGCTCTGTCAATGAGTACGTATGACAGTTTAATATGCTTCGGATAATGCAACTTGATGATGTTAATTGTACGCTTTTTGACCACATTTTTTTTTTAATTTCATTTCATTATACTAAATCCAAGTTTAAGTAAAAAAAGAGTTAAAATAAAAAATAATATAGCATAACAAATTAATAATTTACAGTTTTTGTTTAAAAAAATAATATTGTATTTAAAAAAAAGCGTGTTGATATACAATATAAAAATATACGCATGGACTTAAGAGCCTCCATTTTTCCTCGGTTAAAAAGCAAAACAAATCCACTGATTGGTCAAAAAAGAATATTGGATCAGACTCCCGCTTTTCATTTGTCAATCTTATAGACTTATTCTAATCCCACGCGATACGAGTCTCGAGTGATTCACACATGTTGGCTGCATATGTGGCGCCCCGGGTTTTATTACGCCTACAGCGCCCCCGGTGACTAAAGGGGAAAACCACTTCGTATCAAGAGCTCCCGCGTTTTCCACGCTCTTCTGTAGCGCACGCGGACGCGTCGCTTCCAGGCCAACATTCATCGCAGATTCGCTGGAAATAAAAGACGTGGCCTTTTGTTACTAACACGATGATTTAAGGTCCGTACGGAAGAATTTTCCGTGCGGTCACGAATGAAAAGTGAAAGAAAAACTGTACTGTTTGTTTTAAGTGAGATGCGTAATTAAAAGTTTTGATTACAATAATATAATAAAAATTTGATTTTATTAAGTACTCGGAGATAAATTACGATGTCCTTGATTCAAACATTATCAAACAGGGAAATAATTAGCAACTCACTGAATGTTAAATGTAAAGTTACTGAGAAATCTAGATTTTAATATTTAACCTCATATTTCGCCGTTGTTACTAAAACAACAAAATCGCGAATTAAAATCAAAGAAATATTTCTATAATAGCTTAATATTTTTACATACCTACTAACGAAACAAACCATTTCACAGTCAATTTGCAAAATTAACCCAACGGATACATTAAATGCGTTGCCAAAATAAAACATTACGGAATCATCGTCCAATTCGCGCTTATCGCCCATCGTTGTGGGCCTTTATTAGATTAATACAATGAAAATTAAAACAATTTGCCGGATAAATATCTTTGCGCGGAGTATCAGTGGCGTCCCTATTTATCCCTAGGAGGGCAACACGGATAACCCCTCTTAAAAGCTAGGAGCAGTCAGCATTAAATGGAATAAAGAGAATGAAGTCGAGCGGTCGCGCCTCCCTCCCCTCTGAATTTCATTAGTGGCCCGACCCGCCCCTCACCCCCCAAAACCCACTTTACAACGGAAAATGGCATTATGATAATACTTAGAGCCTTATAAAATTTCGCTGAATAAACATTTTTATGTAATTGTACAATAACATCAATTTTTGAGAGAAAATTTCATAGCAAAGTAACTGGTCGTAATCAATTACAATCCCGTCATAAATATTATGAGTTTAATTCGTTTCGCACAAAAAGCATTCGTTTGTTGCTAAATTGTGAAATAAAGGAATAAGTATGCAAACCAAATAGAAGAAAGACCAAAAGCGAGGTTGACCATTAATTGTGTCGCTGTGCACATTCCGCGAGGAGCGTGCGGTCCGCGGGGAGCGGCGGGAAATGCGAAATAAATGCTCAGCTTAAATGCGAAAGGGATCGACGGCAGCGCCCGCGGCAGGGGAGTCGCGCCCCAAAGTGGTATTTTCACTTCGCTAATCGGATAACCACTTAACGAATGGGTCACTGCACGCCAAACGTATTTTCACACGACTTTTCTGGAGGGAGCCCATCATTTCGCTTCTTACTAGCTAAAACTTACGGCCGCCCGGTAACGGTCACGGCGACCGCTCAATCCGCGTATCGATCCTTTTTAAGCTCTTTTATTGTTGTTACATTCGTTATGGAAACGGCAATTGCGACTAATCTGATTGCGACGACGCGTGCTCGCGCGTTTATTGCCGGTCGGACATAAGTATGATTGATGAAAATGATTATCTTTACAGATGAGGAGCGGAAGGGGGACGACATGCTGCAGGGTATGCATCATCAGCTGCTCGGCTACGGCATCAAGGAGGAGTCGAAGCGCGGCTCCTCCGACTGCGGCGTGCCGATCCCCGCGTCCAAGCCCAAGATTTGGTCCCTGGCGGACACGGCAGCGTGTAAGACGCCGCCGCCGGCTGCGCAGCCTTGGCCCCAGCATTCGTACGGGCCCGAGCGCGCGGCGGCATCCGACGGCAGCTCCAATGGATTCGCGCTGCCAGCCACGGCGGCGGCTAGTCCAGCCAGCGGCTCGTACGGCCGCTATGGAGGCTTCCCTGGCGGCCAGTACGGTGGACAGCACCCGTGCGTACACCCCGCGGCCTTCCCTGACGTGCAGACCGACACGCCGCCTCAAACACCACCGAACATGAAGGTTCCGAGCGTCGCCAACCCACTGGGCAGCGGTGGCGGCTCCGGCTACTGCTTCCCCCGGCACCAGCAGTCGCCGCAGCGCGACCCCTACCACAACCCCCATCACGGTGCAAACAGCCATCAGCCCAACCAGCCCCATCACAACGAAGGATCTGCGGCCTTCAAGCCATTCTATAAAAGGTAACTATCGACTCCATTCCCTAAAACTCACCCAGTAGGCACACTCAATTTACAAACGTGCACGAATGATATTCCTAGGAGAAATTCTCGCTCTACACGACGTGAAAAGAGTGACTGTTTCCTATTCCAGCTCACTACAACACCCCAACGGTTTCGTGTCGGCCGTCTGAAAGCGGACCGCGCGCCACTAGCGGTGAGTTACTGATTGATTCAAATTGTCGAGCTTGAGAATCGTGAAGTAAAGTGCGCATATAAATGAGAGACGCGCTCGTAAATGGATGATTGTAGTAAAGATATCGAGAAAGCCATAAACAGAGTTGCGGTTTAGTAGCGGAGTTTCGCGCCGGGGTGTCATGTCGGTAATTGAAAACAATGGAGTCGAGTCGAGGCGGAAGGGGACGCGGCGCGAGGGCGGCCAGATTGCAATCTTGCATCATTTGTCAGTGTCACGGACGCGCACCGCACGCCTACGTACGCCGCTGACCTGCCCAAATTAGCTCTTTCCACGTGATAACACGTCCACAACGCAAAGAGCTCGGATCTTCCATTGGTTGTGTACAAACAATACCAACTTATCAAAACACAATCTGTTACAAACAATTTAATCAAACCGTTTTCACGTGCATTACGTACTCGTACCATTTCGTTACAAATTACAAATTTCACGGCACATAACGTCCATAACGTATCATTGTTTGAAAGTGGTTTTATTCGGAAAATAAATAAAAATAAAGTAGAGTGAGATAAAAACAAATGTCAGCTGGAACAGTGGCACCGTGTGAATGTGAAGCTATGTATTTCCCCTAGGAGGCGACATGTCGCATTTTTCTAAGAGTCGTCAAAGATTTTCTGAGAAGAGACCGCGGCACTCGGGCATCCGCGTCTCATTACAATAAATCGCGTTTTCGACGCTGCCGCACAGAAAGGCATCGCCAAGAATTTTGTTTTAGTCAAACGCTCACAAATTCACTTCTATAACCTTTTGTATTATTTTATTTTTTCACGCCTTTTTGTCCCTCGGATTCCTTGACGCGAAAATAACTTCTTATCGCGGCATTCCTTTAAAGTAGCCCCAAAAAGAACGGTTTGAATTCGACAGTTTTTTGTTTCGACTTAAATAGCCTCCCAGTATCGTTTTAACTTATTATTTTGCGAAATGAAATCGCTACCAAATCGAGAAGTGATATCATTTTACGTGTACTTAATTCGTTAATTGCCGACATAAGGATTTATTGTGTCCCTTTATGTTACGACTACTAAGCGCCATGTTTGGTCGTTGTAGGAAAATAGTGGAGATGTAGTAATCCAATACACGCCTACTCTAATCCTATTGACCGAGTCTAATTTGAATAATATTATAATAGGGGTTAGTAAGACAAAAAACGATAATGTAGAATGCACAATGAGTATTGTTTCTGTGGCTGCTGGCGTCGCGCAGCAGCCGCGGCGATGGCAGCGCGCCGCGTGCGTGGGCGCGGAATCTCAATGGATCCTCTTCATTCACAACACTACCTCCACATTAAAGCCGCTTTACTTTTTTTCGACGCCCTAATCTTTCCTCTTATCTTTTGATCCTCACTCGGGTCCTTCTCTGTTTCATTCAGTCGCAACCCGTCCGGTAAACCTGTTTCACTTTTTTTTTTCATTGACGCCGTACAAACTTGAGATGACCGCGGCCGAGGTCGAATTTTTATTTCTTTCACATTTCGGTTTTCCGGTCCGGGCGATTCGTTAATAAATTCTCAGATAATGAGACTGAACGTTTCGTCACCTCATCTCGATTGGTTTAGATTTTTTCTTTTTGGGTTTATATGTGTGAACGCGGCGGCGGGCTCGCACCGGCGACACTGCGATAGAATCAAAACAGCTATCGGAATGAACCTCCTTTTTTATTAATTTAAATACCGCTATTCTTTTTACAAGATTTAATTTAAATAACTTTTGAACTACTGGGGAATAAATAATAAAAGTTAAGACAATGTCTCTGACAAGGATGCTAATTTATGTGTTAAATTTGTTTGATAAAATGTGTTTATTGCTTGTTTCAGGTAAAGTAAGTGAAACCTGGGTCGCTGCACACGCATCACCATTAGGAACTGTCGAAGTCACAGTGGCACAGTGTTTCCGTTCAATAACATAATGATGACACGTCGTAGGGGCATAGAACTATGGCTGAATGTACGACAACAATTGTAGAATCTTTGTAAAATTATTATTTGGAACTACATTTATTTGTATATCGCATAGTGTAATTTCTACTTCTTAAACTTAAAATGCACAGATGAAAATAATGTATAAAAGTACATAAATTTTGTTTTGATGTGATTTATGTCGACGGTTGTCTTTACATACTATCAAATTGTATGAAATCAATATTGCTCAGTATTTTTATAGATTTAAGAATGATACTAAAATAATATCCAAATTATTTAGAGATACACGAAATGCGCAATTATGATGTAAAATTAATGTAACCATTTGTTTTAGTGAATTATTGTACATTTAACGGAATTTCTCAACCGGGATTGTACGACATAAAGGAATCTGTTGTTATGACGATGTGCTTTCTTTCTAAGTTCTTCCATTGTAACTTGATTTTAATATTTTGGAGCAATAAGTTATAATTAGTTCAGGTGCCAGACTTTACTTTCTAGTTTTAAGTGATTTGTACATTTAGTGGAAGGGAAGGTTAGTTCGGTTCGCAGTTTATTATAAACATTGAATTTAATTTTGTTAAAAACTAGATGGAACATCGATTTGCAATCGTCGATTTGGTTATTGTTGTTGTCATTGTATATAAAATGTTTTGTAGATTTTCTACTTTTAGTTTCTCGAGAAGTGTACAAAGTAATTAGTATGGTTTCGCTACAATCGATGTCGTTCACAAACACATCGAAATGAATTTTATAAATATTGTTTAAAAGTATTATTAGAATACATTGTAAATAAATATATTCTGAATATTTTATTTTTAAATCGGTCGTAGTCTCTTGACAAGATCAGGGATTTTTAAATAATAGGATTTTATTTGTTTGATGTTGGATTTTAGTCATGTGGGTTAAGTCTTAGGTACATACATATATGAAGATGCTATTGAGGAAGATGAGTTTAATAAGATGCAATTGATAGGGTTTCTGTAGTAGAACTAATCTGAGGCCATATTTGAACTAGATATCCGGAAGCAACTGACCACCAGATTTTGCTCTGTACTTTGTCAGGCACTACACGAAATGTCCACTTATTTATGCTGTTAGGCTTTAAATTAAGTTCGTTTGTTAATACATTGGTGAAATTTACACAGTATATAGTAAGAGTTTGCACACGTCGATTAATTATTATTATTAATAAATTGATTCATATTACAAGCAACGAAGTGTTGGAAATAGATATCCCTCGGCAATATTTTATTTAAGATATATCCTAAGCCTTTACATGTATAGGTCACAACACTGAACTGTTCAACGCAATAGTTTGGAGGCTTTACAAATGTGTAATACAAATACACCTTGCAAAATGGATAAAAATTCTATGTGACCAAATCGAATACATTCGCTTAATATTAAATGTTCTATATAGATATTTATAGAATATATACCTATTAATTATTATTATTGTGAGTAAAATTATGTAACGATTGTAATTAAATCTTTATTTCAATGGAGTTACTTTTATTTAACAACCAATACTGTATAAAATAACCACGATGTTGTGTATTAACTCTCTCCTAATCCATAGAAATCGTTTTATAAATTATTAAAAACAAAGGGGTTAGCTAAATACCTAGATGGTTATGTCTTAACCGAGTCTTAAATCCTATAACGAGAGTTAATTAAACATTAATGCTTGAATAAAAACGGAATATCAGGTTAACCAGAGAGCTGTTCAATCTTGAAGAATGTACAAACAAAATGGAAAAAGTCTATAATGAGTCGGTAAAAGTCGTCAGTTACTTTGGGAGGGTCCCGCCCTTGCCTCTTAACTCTTAAACAATGCTTAAAGGGTAATAAAAGGACTGCTTTTTTCAACTTTTGGAGTGGTGCAGAATTATGAGGGTTCCTTTCTTCGGTTCACTAAATTACTTTAATTAAGAGAAAGTTTAATTATAAATAAAAAATGTTTTGAACAACAGACATTTCGATTCTGATCGACGTAGAATAACTTATTAGTTCATAAATAAAGTAAAACTCAGTTAATATTGACAACAATCAAGTTCCAATATACGTTGAAGATATGATGTGTTAAATGCCATTTCTGCATTATTAAAGAATAATGCCAAATCTATAATAAATTAGAAAGTTAGCCTAACAATACTTAACGTCATGTAGATTTATGAAGTGACTGGTTTCTAACGTGCCTTACAACCTACTAATAATAAAAAATAATAATGATTAATGAACGAAATAATTACAGTCAAATAATAAATTTGTTATTAAAGCCAAGACAAGTAAACATAAAGTTACGACGTCCGCGTTCAGATAGTAAATTCAATTTAGGTGAACCCGGCGCCCGCTCTACAATTCCAAGTACATCATTTCGCGCATTTGATTGTGAATAAAATTCGTAAGTATCAAAACTATTCTTGAGTCTTCGTATATCATATAAGCTAATAGGATTGGTTTGTAAGAATTTCACTCTGATAGAGATAAGAAAGCATCATTTTTTGATGCTACATTTAAGAAGAAAATAAGTACCTACCTAAGTAATAAGAAATAGGTCTTCTTTAAAGAATCTATTATACAAATGGCATGTACTTAAGTACTTACTTACTCTTATGATTTTCCATAGTAAAATGGTTTCATCGACTGTAAAATCTTTTAACTCGAGGATGCAGTCTTGCTAAGTTTTTAGTAAGTAGTAAAAGTCAACAAAAATGATAAGTACACATAAAAGCAACATAAGTACCTACTCGTAACTAATTATATTTGAGACTATGTACTGTAGGCTTGTAAAAAACACATACCTGTAGCTTATACGGCAAATCAATTTGATACTGCACTTAATTGAGTTTTTTATATTGTTTATGTTTAGTCATACAATAACAAACAAAACATAACGATTGCTTTACTTAATCAAATCAGTGACTACCCCAATAGAACCCGCAATAAAACCGCCAGTACTCATAAAACGGTCATAAACATTGACAACACAAATAGCAACTAATAATCTACGAAGCCAATCAAACGAATATATTTTATTGGCACCTCCATACAGAGAGAGCATTGCAGATGATTGCTACAATAAAACTGTTTACCGGAGACACCGGCGCTAATTAACTTAGCTCTTAGATTAAATTACGTGGGTTCTTGTAAGCACTTTTATACCACAACCGATTTCTTTTCAAAAATTGCTCAAGGAAAATCATGTACGAGTACTTACCCATAAAAACGAAGTTTTCCAAGCAGTTTAAATCACGCAGAGAGTGTGTGCATAATGAGAGTAAAGCCATTCTGCTGACACCACCAATAATTTCCAAGAACTATTAGTTTCCCGTGCATTTCACCTGAAAGCAGTTCAGCTTAGTCGCGGCGGTTTTTCACGCTGACGAGTTACCACCGCACCACGATAGATGGCACACCTGGTTGCAGATCGCAGGTTGCCTTGTTAGTGCTTTTTATTGATTTGTAAGCCGGGTTTCTTGAAAAGATTGAACTTTTAAAAGAATTTATTACTTGAGATATTTAATAGAATTAATTTGTATAAAATAATGTAGAGTCTTAATGTAAATGTTAGCATATTTCTTCTTAATATTGCCATGAATATATTAAGTCAGCGGCTCTTTCGTTTACAATTTATTACTTATAATCTATTCTCTATTAATAAGGAGGGCCTTAAAAATTGTGCCTAGAAATACAATATAAATAGTTTTATGTTACATGTCAATATCGATGAAAGATATTAGATGATGCTAATCATCGTATCGATTCAACCGATTAATAATGAGATTACAATAACATTTTTCTCGTGAATAGAAAAAATAAATGTGTCACTCTATTTCCATTAACTTAGATCTTATCTATATTTTATATTAACATTGTAGAGTCTGTCATCTTTGTAATCTTCCGCCCCGCAGAATCAACATCGGCGAGCCCACGACACTTTAGTATCGACCCTTTGTACGTAGTCCGTTCCTTACACAATCGCCCGCGACCTGCATAAATATTTTAGATTTGTCTGCGAAAGGAACTCCAATTTTTGTTACCAAAAATCTTCTCTTTGTCTGCCACATCCCATTAACATAGCTAAATATAACTTGTTTTTGCTGGAAAACTAGCATCATGATTTATCCCTCCATTTTTAAAGTTAGTTTTGAATTACCTATCACCTAGTTGTGCTGGGGATTCGTATTGTATCTATCTAATGTTTTCAGCAGTCAAATCTGATAATAACTAAAGACTTATTTATAAAAAGCACAACTTTTTGCGTTTTAATCTCATACACGAGTAAAATTTGGTAGAGTCGTTTGAAATTTAAGTAAGTATTTTTAAAATCAATGCATTTCTGTTGAGGAGGTCAATCTCCTACGTATAACATGAACATATTATTTAATCTGCATAAGGGCACAGGTGTAGTTAATGGCTAAGTCAAGTTCACCTGCTCCGCCTTAGGTGTCGAACCTAATCACTTCAGATTTTTGTAAGGACGGGCAAATTTATTCATACCCTCGCATTTATCACCGGGCCTCTCTTGGGTAGTTTTTCACGATGTTATGAGGAAATTGCCAGCGCGAAATTCTATCACGCTTCCGAGAGAGGGCGCTAGCGACCGTTAGACTCCGTGCACCTTGCCGATACCCATAAATCAAACTATTCCGTAATCGCCGCTGTATGCATGGACACCACCCGTACCTTCTGTTTTATTTATTGCAATCCTAAACAGATTTTTATGCTTTATGACCCAAGAAAGCCGTTTAGCTTGTTCTTTTTTATGAGTCGACGACCCCATATCGATTCATATCAATAAATCTAAATTAATCGACGAATCGCCAATTTGTTTACACGTCGCGTACAACAGATTATACGGAAATATGACATAACAGGCACTTAATTTGAATTTTCGGGTAGGAGTAATTATTTATTGTGACATACTTAGCGTGTTAGAGGTAGTGTTATTAAGTAAAATAGTAGTCCATAAATCTTTGTGACTTCGATAAATAGGTTGGGCGGTTGGTCGTCGCCGCCAGCGGCTACCAGAGGTGTAAGGCACGTATCGAGACATCGATCGCTGATGTGATCATCCACATTCCTGCCGCGGCTCCTGAGATAACTGAAAACGTATTATAATTTATCTATGGCAATTCGTCTGCGACTTCTATCTGGTGCCGCACCGTCTTTGTGATGAAAACAAATTGTTTTGGTGTCCAAATTAACTACAAGTCATATGGGTAGAATTTTGTCCGTAATAATGACAAAGCTACAGCTTCTATTTATACCTACTTACTTTGATCTGTATAGTTAGTTAAGGAATCGTAAAGACGATTTTGAACTTAATTGCCTATTAACAATATTGTAATCAATTCAAATAATTTGTATTTTCTAAGATGAGTTTACACACGAGTAGGCACAGTCGTTATTACAGATTTTAAAAGTTAATACAAACTTCATCTTCTAAAAAACTTACATATTAATTAATGATTTCATTTAGACATCGTAATTTGACAACTTTGTGGAAAGGAAACGAAAACAAAGATTCTTCATCTCCTGAATATTTCGAGAGTAGTGAAGCGCGCTCAGATCATAGAAAGAGAATAGATATGAAGTCGCGCGTAACTACAACGAGAACCAGTGTCCCCACATTTCCCCCACCACAGCTCCCACACACACATTCAACTGTGTAAAAACAAAGCGACTGAGAGTCTACGACAACATGTGCAACCGTCTTAAAAGTGCTGTGATTGGCCAGAAGGCGTGAATTATGGCCAATCAATGGCCGCGTGATGTGACGCACACATAGAAAACGCTAGTGAGAGAACAAAGATAAAATGGAGTCGACAAGATATCGATACTTTAAATCGCTAGGGGCAAGGCTCGAAACTGGTTTCACAAAATGCTTATGTATGAAAACCTTTTTATTATTATACGTTAATAATAGCTACTATCACGCATTTACTTTTTAATTATGGCGATCTGCGTACCGCATATGTTTACCAAAATAATGCCTATATTAGGCTTTCAACTAGCTCTTATAGTAATTACATAGTTGACAGTTACTAATTACTTCTACTGTTATTATTTTTTTTGTAAAATCTTATAATCGCAAGTAACACATCATTTTTTTATTTAAAATTACAAAATGGAAAATTATAATTTACTTCTATTTATCGATAATAGGAAACCGCATTAGAACACGAGCACGGCACTATGTTACGACCGGCACATGCGGCCGTACTGTGTATTTTCACACGACAGTGGATATCGGAAGAAATTAAATACATTGCGCAGTAGTTGAGCACGACATAAAGTGGTTGCTAACTAAATCGTCAATGTACAAGTG